GCTCACAGTTCTCGAACCCGCTGTAGTCGCATTTGGTTAACTGGAAACCGCCAACTCTCAGGGCATCCTTTATAGTCTGGTAAGTCCCGTTCCTGAAGATGGCGCGGCCGCTGGGAGCTTGCTCAAATGCACCAGTCGCCGTCACCAATTTGGCGATTTCGTGCTTCAGGGCCAGAGCCTGCCCCTCAGACAGCTTGCTGCTCCGACGGTCGGGATGTCGGATGTACAAGCCAGTCCACCGCTGTTCCGTGGCATCTGCGGCTAGTCCAATGTTGGAGAATTCCTCGACATAGATTTTTCCCGTTTCTCTGTCTAGCTTGACGTTAGAAATGTCCAACGGTGTTCGAGCCACTGGCATGGTAAGAGGACGGGATATGGTGAATGAATGTGATCTTCTGCTTGCAGAAAGGGTTTGGGGACGAAAAATAGATAGCAATTTTAATTTGCCAGAACCGCATTTATATGCCACATCATATACAGACGCAGGACAAAGGCCACCTCTCTTTGTCCCGACAACATGATGGCCATGGAATATTTAATGTTTGAGCCGGGCCGCACGATATATATTAACCAAACAAGCGCCCATGCATTTGAACCTCACGACCCAACACCGTTTATTCCACGAACAACGGCGATGCAATAACTGCTGCGGGAAGGATGCTCTCCAGCAAGGCTTGGTTGTTTCTGGCGGTGTTCTGTCCCTTGGTCCTTCCTGTGGTGATCCAGACAGTGGCCTCACCACTCACGCTCTTGCTACTTTCCCCGTTTCTCCTTTTCCTGGCAGCGATAGCGTTCCTGTTGCTGAATATTATACTGGCATATATTCTGGATTGCGACAGGTCCCATGCACCGAACCCACTACCCTCTGCAGCACGCCCCCTCGCATTCTCCACGCCAGCAGCATGGCAAGCTGTCCTCACTCGCACTCAATGGTCCCACAAGGCGCCGCAATCGTTGTCACCGCTCTATCCAGAGTCTCCTGCAATTTCAGCTGCAATAAATGATATTCTGATAATGATTGTGAGAGACTTTGTGTTGACCTGGTACCGAGAGCTATCCACGTCCCCTTCGTTTCCGACCGCGGTATCCGCCACCACCCATTCTTCATTACAGAGGCTGCTTTCGAGAGCTTCTACACTGGACTTGCCTGCTCTTGTAGTCAAACGTATCATGCCCAAAATCACGGCTCATATCGAACAATTTCGCGAGTCCGAGGTTGCCCTGCGAGGGGCAGGTCTAGAACGGAGATTGACACAATCGGAGGAGTTGGACCTGTTGTTGGCGAGTCGCTATGCGGGGCGCGGTGGAGGGAAATTGCATCCTGCAGTTGACAACCTGTCGTCCACGTTCACGAAGCAGACTGAAGAGAACCACCTTCGAGACCTGGTAGACCGAGCCCTTCCCCATATTCTGCCGGAAAAAGAAAGTCGCAGTAAGGTGTTGAAAATCGTCGTCCGCGAGATTGTGGCGTGTTCGGTACTGTATCCTATCATGGAGATGTTAGCCGATCCAGATTTTTGGAATCGCACAATTGATTCGGTGGTATGTTTACAGTGCGATCTACTTGACTATAAGTCCTCACAGATATTTCGCTAGGCAGGAGCCGCAATTCGCCAACAGTATGTGTGTCCTTCTTTCAGAGGAACAGTAGGCTCACGGATGTTCCTACAGGAAGTTAATTTCCAAAGTCCGCGGTGTTTTGGAATCACAGTTACCCCGACCCCAATCGCGCGTGATGGAGCCAAGAGTACCCCCTACGGATCGTATCACGGTTCGTACAGATGCCCGACAATTTGAGTCATTCCTTCGAAGCATCAATCGATGCTCTTCACTCCTCGATGCACGCCGTCTGAAGAACGATATAACGGGAGAGATACGACGGACGCGGGCAATGTTAGGTACGTTTCTTTGAGCAAAATATTTTAAACACAGCTCATATTCATGCGCAGCTAATCATGAGAAGGAGGATTGGATCAACGGCGAGAAGACTGAAGACATAGTCGCATTCCTTGATAGGCTGTACACTGCTAAACGCAAGGTCGAGAAGCGTATCGTTCTCCTTGGTGGTGAATCTGATCCCGTGAGCTCATTCTCAGTTCTCAGTGTTCAACAAACACGGTAACTTATGTACTTCAGAGAACGCCTTCTGAGGCAGGCATCCAATCAAGGCTTTCTCTACGTGACGTACTCACCAATCCCACCTCCTTGTCGTATTTCATGGAGTTCATGGACAGGAAGAATCGCTCATTATTGGTCCAATTTTGGCTCACCGTCGAGAGCTTCAAGAATCCATTGGAGTCCATCGACTCAGGAAGTTCAGATGACGAAGATGAGCCCGTACGCGATCCTTCACTTACTGACACCTTGAAGGAAGATATTTCCATGATGAACGAGCTATACTTCTCCGGCTCCGCCCCTGATCCAGCCCTATCAATCATCTCGCAAAAACATATCAGCCACATCCGCTCTTTTGGTGCAGAAGGTGAACTGCCAACACCCTCTGCCGAAAGAAGAGTCCGGCGCAGCGTGATGTTAGCGCAGAGACAAGTCGAACGGGAGATGGAGCAGCAAGATTTCGAAGACTTCCAGCGCTCCGAATTGTGGTTCCGCGTCATCGGAGATACAGAGGCACACGCGCGAAGAACGAGTCCAGATACTCTACGGTCGCGTACGATGACGGAAGGCACTCTCCGGCGAGTATTCGACAACACAAGGAGCGAAACGGCCCCTCCCAGATTCCTACAACCCGCAATACCGTTTTCGGCCTATGATATGTCGAGCTCCTCGTCTTCACTAACATCGTCCGTAGTGTCAGTATCCACGCCCACTGTTCGAGCCTCTCCGTCCAATTTGGAACTACTCATGTCCCCATCTTCCGAAGCCCCGTCTTCGTCTTCTCGTGCTCCTCTTTTCGATGATCCTGAAGACGCACGGTTCGACGCCGCGTTAGAAGCGCAATCTCAGAGGATGGAAGCTATTCAAGCTGCTCTAACAGATATCATAGCCTTGGATCGACATGAGAACCCAGCAGCGCAGGGCTCCTTTGATAGCATATCGCTTGCAAATCCAGGTCTTGGTATAGTCGTTGAACAACCGAAGGCTGATGCCACGTCCGATGACGAGGCTGAGGCCGAAGAAAGAGTAGAAGATGCAGCTGATCCAGAGCACAGCTCGTTTCAGCTCGCAGGACCCGGCGATCTTCACTTGTCATACGAAATTGAGCGGTTAGGAAACAAGATCAGCAACCTGCAGACGCAGGAGGGCATGCTAGATACGCTAATAAAGAAGGCAGAGCTGACTGGTGATGCCCAAGAGCTGCGATTGCTACAGAAGTCCAAGTCTTCGCTGGCACGGGAGCTACGCGAGTTGAATTTCCAAAAGAGCCAGTACGAGCAACAGGAGTCTGCGAACCGGCTGGTCTCCGATTGCACAAAGATCTCAATCGTTAATTCGACTGTAGCCGACGAAGATGGGAAATCCGTCGTCCGGTACCTTCTGGAGATACAACAACTCGCTGCGGATGGAAGCTTCGCTTCTGGATGGGTAGTTGCTCGGCGATATAACGAGTTCTTCAATATGCACAACAAACTACGAGAGCGATACGCTATAGTGCGTGGATTAGATTTCCCTGGGAAGCGGCTCGTTACGTCCTTGTCCAATAGCTTTGTCGATTCACGTCGGGTCGCTTTGGAGAAGTACATGCAGGTATTTATGATCTTTAACCATTACTTGACGAAGTTGACCATGTTCCAGAGCTTAATTGCCGTACCCGCCGTTTGTCAAAGCGATGAATTGAGGATATTCTTGTCTCGGGATTCACCTTTTATGGCGGCGGCGACCACCAGTGCCAAAGGAGCAGCTGCCTCAACCGGTGTCTTCCCTGGGAAAGGACTCGTCAAGACTGTCTATCGCTCGGTGGCAGAAAGTATCGACGACATGTTCTTCGGCCCTTCAATGCTGGATGTTATTATACAGCGCCTGACATCACAGGCAGCTGAGTTCGTAGGGATCGTCGGTACTGGAGTGCACGACGAGGACCTCGTTGCTCAGGCTCTTCGTGCATCATCAAAGGCCACATCGGAAGATACCATATTGCAACTTCCAGGAGATCTCAAGCCTTTGGAAGGGGAGACCAGTACTTCGTCGTTCTCGTCACCCATTTGTGACCTTATCCTGGCTATTTTTGAGCTCAATAAGAAGAACAACTGGCTAAGACGACAGGCCATCGTCATCATCTTGCAGCAAGTCTTCGGAGAAACAATAGAACGGTAGGTTGTCAATATCTGAAGCTCATGCAAGTGGCTTATCGGTTATCACTGTACTAGGAAGCTGCGAGAAACTGTCAGAGGGTTGCTGAATGAGACGCATCTGATGTCATACATTGGAATATTCAGGGATTCTCTATGGGAAGGAGGGCAATTGAAAGCCAAAGGCCCTCCACGCACAGCGGAGGAGAAACTGCGCACACGAGACGACGCAAATCGCAAATTATCCGCTTTGATACCAGGCGAGTATCCCATTTCTCTTAGCTTGATTCACATACTGACGTGTCCTATAGATCTCGGCGCGAACATGATTGGACGCTCCAATGCGCGGCGGGGTTCCCGAAGGATCTTTGCCGTGCTACAGAACAGGCGACTTAACCAGCATTTAATGTATACCATTGTAGATGAGGTGAGTTGAATCCGTCTCTGTATTACAGGCCTCTCGTTAACGAATCCACTTCCAGGTCTTTGCTGTGCTCTTCCCGGAGGCGTCATGATATATACTATACCCATAGGATCGATCCAAACTTATACCATAAAATTATCAGAACTGAAATATTGTAGCCACACTCTATATGACATGATTTGTTATCAAGGACAGTATATTTGAAACTATTTGAGATCGGAGATGACTTTGAGGATCCAAGCCCTCTGGAGATGATGATCTCCCCTTCGGCTGGGATGCATGAGTATCAAACATTACGTCTAGTAAGGGTATGTCTCAAGTAACGACAAGGACCCGTGGCGCAGTGGTAGCGCGTGAGATTCCAGTTCTGTTCAGTTGCGGCTTATGCAAGAGCGTGGTTCCTCAAGGTCATCCGTTCAAATCGGGTCGGGTTCACTTTTTTGGTTAGTTGATAATATTCATTTTTGTTTTTGTAATGTTTAAGGCTCCAACCCTTTACTCTTTGTATGGCTAATGTCAATTACGATTTTTACGCACTGAATTCCCGAAGTATCTCTCAAGTTATGAGGCTTACGCGGATGCGACTTTGCAAGCGGCCCCTTACCATAGGTCAAATGTGAACATAGAGACATGAGACAAATGTTCGCCCAGAGGCCTTCTGGGTGAACATAAAAGACACGAGCAAAGTGTTCGCCCAGATACCTTCTGGGTGAACATAATGGGCGGGTTTTTCAAAAAAACTGAGCGCGGGTTTGAATCCCGCTTTCGTCAGTAGCTTTCTAACTGATCAAGACTCTTTCAAGGCTCCCCTTTGTACTGTAAGGCTCACAATCCTTAACTCGCACACAAAATTGCTGTATTGAGGCAAAGATAAGTCATGTAATTTCATAATGATCCATATTCTGATATGCAGGGCCTGCATTATAGCCCAAGTAAATACTCTGTGTTTACTCTTAATAAAGAGTAAATAATATAAAGGGTTGGAGCCTTAAGCCCTTTACTTTACACTGATGCCGTGAATAGAGAGAAAGGGTCGTAAACAGTTTGTAAAGAGTTAAGGGTAAGTTGAACTGTATCCATCCAGCCATTCAAGTTTCAAGCGCCCAACCATCTCCTTGCAGCGTATTCACAGCTTGTATCGCCTGTTCCTTCGGAACCAATATATAGTCCGTGTTCCTATACATGACGTCCCCAGCTTTCAACTCTCTTGAATTCAATCGACACAGCCAAAAATGCCACCTACCAGGTAGAGATTGCGAAGATGGGGATTCCGGCGTGCTTCAAGGGAGTACAGAAATTACACATCACCCCTGTAATACCTAATCGCATCAAAAGAAAGTTCTCAGCCAGAAATCCTCCAGACATTAATGTATGAGCGAACCAAAATCCATAGGACCTGCGATCTTGATGCATCGCCAGGTAGCTTCCGTATCCTCGTCTAAGCACTCGACAACGACTGAAGTCTCCTCAACAGTGCGAGTGACAGAGACAAAGCGTCCGGCATTGCCGCTGGCTAACAGCTCAATATATTTGTGTGGTACAGGCTGTTCTGGTTTGAATTGCTCCACCTTGAACGGCCGAAGCAGGAGGCTCAGCTGGAATGCAGGATGATCAGACGGCGGTGGCATCTTACTAAGATATGGGAAGCGCTGATATTCGACAGTCGGTAGTGCTCAGCTAGTGGCGCGACTCTGGAACACATGCTAAGCGCACTTCGACCCTCAACCTTCTGTATGTACGGATTTTACGTAATCTGAATACATGTTCCTTTGTAACAGCACACCAAGAATATTTCGTCCGACAGCCTGGTCTTATGTCGAAACGATGGAAATGGTAAAGTCCTGCGAATGTGCGCTACCTGTGAACACAGTCTCCTGAGCCGACCCGCTCGGTGAACTGTCACTCGTGAACGCGGTCGACCCTTGGAAGGCCAGTAGCAAGCTGCTGCCTGAGGAGACCTACATCTAACCTCAAAACGATATCCTCAATAAACATAAGGTGTTCACTCACAGCAGAGAATGTCGAGGCGCTAGATACACTACTGCCGCATGTCAGCGACCCACTGGTGATTGCACATTGGCCCTTTGACGTCGACATAGTGAAGCTAGAGGCAGAACCGGATAAAGTGTAAGTGGCTGGAGTCTGTACAGACCAAGTCCCAGCAGTCAGGAGACCCCCAGAGCCGCTGGGCTGAAGGTGGGCTTTTGCTGGAAGGCTCCCCTAAGAACGTTCAGTCGGCGCGCAATCAATCATACCCGAAAGACACGTACTGGAGAGCCGGTAGGAGAAGATCCTCCAGCCTGAGTACGCCATTAAGGAAGCCAGCTTATCGTTCAGTACGATCAGGACTCACGGAACTAGAGATAGTGGTAGGAGCGGCGGAGCCTGATTTGAGTGGGTACTTCAAGCCAGAAGACGCGCACGATCCCTTTTCCGCCGCATCTATTCATCTTTAGACGAGAGCTAAATCCCTAGTCTCAAGAACCGCTTACCTATGGGCAAGAATTCGCCGTCGATCAAAGAACCTTTCACGTTGAAGTACCAGCTAATCTGATTCAAACTACTTCCGTCGCAATCGAGGGATGGAGTGACCTTGGCGTTTCCATCAGATATGCGTTTTATCAAGTTTAGTGGTATGTTGGCTGGCTCACCCCAGAAGCAGTCTTGAGAGCAGAGGTTATTTCGGAAAGTGTAAATGTTTTGCTATTGGATGGTGTGATACCAGCGGCAGCAAGCCATTCATATGTTGGAAGAGTCTGAAAGGTGGTTTGAATACGTAGACTGTCTTTGGGACAAGATCCAAACACACCTGGAAAAGCTTTACTACAGTATTGAAGAAGGCTACAGCCTAAGGGCCAAAAAATCGCATTAGAAACAGTTAGGATATGGAGATTATGCGTGGTACCTCAGCTCCCTTTGCGCTACCGCTGGGAAGACACGTCGGTTCTAGAGTGCTATTATGACACAGTGAGAATGGTTTCTAAGGATCTCTTTAAAATACTGTACCTGTAGCACGTTCCGTGTGTACTCCACTCATGCTGCAACATGCAATGTCAATGACCTACGAAATAGACTGCCACTTGTAATACTCACCTCCCAGAATTGCTCGTTTTGGCCATTGATGTCTATCCAAAACTAAGCAAAATTGAGTCAAGCTTTCATTAATTTGAAGAAAAGAAGTAATCTTACGGTCTCCATGAATGATAGGGTATCAGATGCGCCTTGAGCGGTGAGTAACTGAGGCCGTATATTAGTAACATACAGAGAATGATACAGAGCAATCAACGCACTCCAGCGATATCTGTGTAGTCTCTGGATGAGTCACAGTTCTCCGTGAAGGTCCCATCACAACTGTCAAGAGAAATTGAGATGGACGAATGGCATTTGTATCGGTCGCAGTACGAACTTATCTGGCCAAAGACCTACGAGTATTTTAATTAGAGAGGACGAGTTATATCACAGGGCGTATCTCGCATACCATGAATTGTCCAACTGTCGGAGGGACCTGTCGAAGGATCGGTGTCCCAGAACTATGCGGGCCCATTGGTATCATATATGCGCCTTTTTAACGAGACAACGTACTTGGGTTTGCAATAGCAGGCCCTAAAAACAACGTAGCCATAAGTACATACAATCTAGGTTCGAAGACGATGTGACGCACTCCAGGTGATTCAAAGCAGCACGAATTAGTCTGCTTGGTAGTATTATGGCAAGAGGTCTGGCCACTGGTTCCGCAACCTGAGCTGATTCTCTTGAATAGGTCCATTGGGCCGACCTCGGAGACATAAGGGGAAGCCAGAGAGGAGCCCGCAAGGGCCCCCACAATCAAAGCTGATGCGAGCATAATGAACTCGTCTGCTGTGGCGAAGAGAGGGAGAAAACGAGGAGCGACACCATACCTGCGCGAAATCCCGCACTATATGTACTTTCACGGCTGGGGCAGAGGTTGGGATGGGCACGTTGCTTCTGTTGTCATTTGCAGACCGTCCCATGCCTTATCGCTTCTGCTCAATGTGCTTCCAGTGCGCATCCTGTGAGATCGAATTCCCGAGTTGAGGGGAGCATGCGTCGCTAAGAAGACCCTGTATGCGACGATGTGATCACATCGTCTAGATGCTACCGCAAGTAAGATGTAAGACCATGCGTTACGGCCAGCTTCATGATGCTTGTCACTTACTGTTTCTCTAGTGAGCTCCCACATACATCTAGGCATGGATGTCTCCGAACTGTGTACATGCTTGCATATAGCCTGTGCATGTGGACCATGATATTTCAGGGGCGTCTCTTTGTAGACCCCCGGGCACTCCAACTCGACACAAATGATAGCCGCATGTCCTGATGTCGATCCACGTGGAATTATGGTTTCCTGCCGCACAACTCTGCGTCTGCGCACAATTTGAAGCTTGAAGCTTGAAGGACGAGCCTATTCATATCCATAAAATGCACAATCGCCATGTAATTCCGCTGCTAACATGGAGCTCCCAAGGTACTAAAAAGTCCATTGTCATCTTTTTCTCATTGGTCAGCAACGGAGACTAGCAAGGTACATCGCGAAGATAACGCTGGAAAGTACGGAGGCAACAGGCGGGTACGTGGCAATCTCTCAGTTGGCAGGGCATAATACGCCCTTGTATCTGCAGTTCATCAGGTTTATGAGAAGCTCTGAACATCGTCGTCTTTGGTTATACTCGATACATTCTGGAGACGGACAGTCTTCCCCGCTTGAACAACAGGAAGAATGCTGGTTGTCTCTTCTAGATCTCTACAATCTTCTAGATGTCTACATTCATAGGCCGTACGTTCGCGCTTTATTGTCGATAATGGCAGGTGCTGATGCCTTCGACTGAACACTCTTCACTACTAGTATAAACGCCAGGCTGGCGCTCCTCGGGCGGAAACAGTCAAAATCCCACCTCAGGCTTCATTTTCAGCTCTCCCAGCTGCTGCGTCACCATACAAATCTTGAGTTCGACTGTAATTATATTTAACCACCGTTTGCCGAGGATATGGTACGTTGCGTGGTTGTATTTTTCGCCCCATACTTTCTCACTGTTGTCATACTCTGCGTTCTGATATTATGCTTAGACTCCCTCTAGATATCGCTTTAATTCTCCCGCTGCAGATTTCTCCCGTTGCAGACGTTGCAGGGATCATCCACGAATCAATCGGATTGCCTATTGCTTCCGAACAAGCCGCCTGCAAGGACCGACACCGTCGATTTTGCGCTACTTCATATGAATGCATGCAGCGGTACCGTGGATCCTGAGTCGACAGTATCCGGGTCATTCAATGCCTGGCTAAACATATCTTCATCACCAGGCGTCTCAACGGATGTGCTTCCCCGACCCTGGCCTTTGGAATTGCGACAGACTGAAATTTTCGTAGGATCCATGGTTCTCGTCCATGGTGCTTTCGCTTCGTCCTTTCCCGCGAAA